ATCAGTACCCCTCCTACCCCTCTGTCAGTCCTTATCTTAAATTCAAACTTCATCAGTACCCCTCCTACCCCTCTGTCAGTCCTTATCTTAAATTCAATTCGCCAAAATCAACGCATCCTCTCTCTCTCTCTCTCGGGTAGAAAAACGAAATGCAGCGTTACGTCCTTTGGTTTAAAGAGGAAGATGAGATGCACCCGCTAGGTCGGCGGCCAGGAAGTGAGAAAGGACGGAGGGGAGAGGGCTAAGGAAGGAAAGAGGGAGGACGGCAGAGGGCTAAGGTAGGACAGAGGGAGGGAGGGCCGAGGGAGGAGGAGGGAGCAAGAGAGGGTCGAGAGGAAACGGCCTAGAGAGGAAGGAGGGAGGGAGACATGGGGGCCGAGGGAAGGAGGGTGGGATAAGCGAGAGCCGAGGGAGGAGGAATGGCCTAGGAAGGAAGGAGCGATCGATATTCCTTTGTAAAGTTCACGCTCCCCCCCCCTCTCTCTCTCTCTCTCTCGCGCGCGCGCGCGCACACACCCGCAAGTAAGCGAGCAAGCCAGCGTGAGCGTGTGCGACAAACGAAATCTTGTGTTCACTTACTTGGGAAAGGAACGAACAACAAAATGCACTCTCTAGAATCGGGCAAAAAGGAGGAAGGAGGCAGGGAGAGAACCGAGGGATAGAAGAGGGAGGGAGGGAGTAAGGACAGGGCCATTTGAGAAGCGCAAGGGAGGAAGTACCGGGGTCGATTGAGAAGCGCCAAGGCATGACTGGAGGGAAGGAGGATAGGCCGACAGAGAGGGAGGTGAGGGTGCCGACAGAGAGGGAGGTGAGGGTGCCTCTGGTGCCGACAGAGAGGGAGGTGAGGGTGCCTCTGGTTCCCACCTCTCTCTCTCTATCTCTCTGTGCGCCCGACTTCTCCGTCCGTTCCCAACTTCTCCCATTAATCCCCCTACCCCTCTGCCATTCCAATTTTAGATTCAATCCGCCAAAACCAACGCATCTTTCCACCCTGAGAAGTGAGAGCCGAGGGAAAGAAGAACGAAGCGAGAAGTGAGGGCCGAGGGAGGAGGAATGGCCGAGGAAGGAAGGAGCGAGAGAGAAGGGAGGGCCGAGGACCAGAGAGGAGGCGGGGAGGAGGTCAAGCGGAGATCAAGAGGAGAAAGGAAGTGGAGGGAGGAGGGAGGGAGGATGGGGCGGAGAGGAGGAGATCAGGCGGAAATCGGGCAGAAAGAGGTCACGTGGAGGGAGGCAAGAGAAATGGAGACTCACTTCAGTCAGCCATGTCGGCACAGCCTCCAGTAGACAACGATCAATCGACAATGCCGCAAGCCTTCACCCATGATTTAGCCCAACCGTCCAAGTTCCACAAAAGTAGACAATGGCTCAAACAGATGTTGCAGTATGCGACGCTGAAGTTCACGTAACATGTACGACATTTCACGTAGCACCGCAGTATGCGACACTGAAGTTCACGTAACATGTACGACATTTCACGTAGCACCTCACGTAGCACCTCACGTAGCACCAACCTCAGGAAGCACGTAGCAGCACCAAGTTCACGAATCAGGTAGATCCAAGCTCACGAATAGATATCATGTAGCCATGGCTGCAAGAGCAGCTACCATGCACCGCCATATTTTGTCGTTTGTGCATTTGGAGAGCACTGGACGAGGCCCAATATCAGCGTCGAACTGAGGCCCTGGATGCACCTAACCGCAAACACTTCCACAGAGAAGTTAGAGCTAGGACCGTTAGTGTTCGACCGTTACATTTTGCACCCAACTTGTGTCGAGGAAGTGTCAGAAACGGGCATCTGCTGGCAGCAACGCCGCCAAGTATGGAGGTCATTGGGCTCGTGACGTTTTCTGTTGTTTTTTTCTGCCCCTTTTTACACATACACCGCCAGATACGTGCGGCATTTTCTTTTGCCGCTTTCTTTGGTCTTTTCGAACAGCGATTGCCGCGGATTAAGGTCAGCCCCTTCAATAGCGAAAGCAAACGTCCGACGTCCAGATCACCAGGAAGCAAGTAGAGACAAAAAGCAGTACGTGTCGACAGTCTAAATGTGCTACAATTCGTTAGAAATTGAGCTCTGCACAGGCACCGGCCGCCCCGGACGCCCACTTCAAGATCCAAGAAGAGGCCAAAACAGAAAGAAAACAAAGAAAGCGGTGCGCATCGTTACGCCCGAGGGCCAAAAGCCATATAATAGAACATTGTTCTAGATTTAGATCGACCCCCAACTCAGTCAGATCCTCGTGGTATATCGTGACCTGGTCACAATTGACCATCCTGTGATGCCAATCACAAAGTTCTGACCGACCAATGGCTCGGACTGACCATCCTGTCATTCAGGCAATATCTACGGTCCGATAGATTGACGAAAGCTGACATGTCACCGGTCAGCTGCAGGGTAAGGAAGATGGTGTTGCCTACATCACAACCAAGCACACTGGATATATGAACCACTCACCAAAGACACCCATTGATGATAATGACTCACCTTTCCTAGTTTCTCAGGTGTGAGCTCCTGAAACCTTGGTACAATGCGCCCCCCTGACAAGTCATTGACAAGCAAACAGCCAAACAGCCAAACACGATGAGAGAGAGATTGATTGGGTCAAAAACATCCAACGCATAAGCAGAGAACAAGGATGCGACGGTTCAAAGAGTCCAACTACAATCTTCAAACTCGCACTTGCTTCACAGTGAGAGACCTTTTTTTTTCTTTTTTTTCTTTTTTTAAAACGAGATTGCTGAGAACCGGGCTCGGCGTCCCCTATGATGATGAAAAGGATCGTAATGATCACAGTGAGAGACCTGATCACATGTAGGCAGTATAAAATGAGACTGGCCAAATGAATCTAGCAAAAGAAACTGAACAACAACAAACGGAGATGCAGTCTCAAAGCAAACTTTCTGAGAGGAACACGCAGCAAGCCAACTGCAACGAGGAGCATAGACTAGCTGCAGCATCATGCTCCCCCGTTCAATCCACATACGCCATAGGGAACGTCTCAGTATTATTAATTGATCTCCTGCCACGACGGGAAGATGAACAAAAGAGAAGAGACAGTCAACAGACCCCACCCTTTACTCCCCACTTTCCCAATTGGCCCGCCTCTCCCAAGGCGCTGAATATCCCTCTGCATCGAACACTATACAAGCCCCCCATCACCAGCACCACCGAACTGAACAATACAAGAAAGTCAAGGGAATCAAGAAGGCACGAGTCCTTTCTCTTCCTCAACCGGGTCAAACTTCGACTGCCCGAACACGACCGACATACGAGAGAAGGGGAAACGTCCGAAGACCTCTCTAAGCATAATAATGTACATATGGACGTTCCATGATACTCAGGACTTGCATGCCAGACTTGAGTCAGTGTGAGCAGAATACATGCTTTTAGTCTATTCTCATCTTCGCTAGTCTAAAATTCTCTTTTTTTTTCTTTGAACCAATGTCACTCCTCCCCCTCATCTCGCCACCATCTCCCTCCTCCGTCATCTCCCCCAACATCTCCCTCCTTAATAACAATAGTAACAATAACAATAACAATGAATGAATGAACCAGAATCCCTGTCCGAACAGAAAGAGAAATGAATTGAGAGCGAGATGAAAGATGGAACGCACACAACTACACAGTGAATAATGAGCTCAGGCTATGAAGAGTGTGCCCTATACAACTCACCAGTTGCAATTGCAATCAACTCAAGCTCCACTCCGCCGACCCATCTGATTGCTGGGAGGTCGTGATGCATGAGAAGATGATTGGCCTCGTCATCAAAGCCCCATTGACAGATGACTAGAGTGGCGCCCGAATCCTACCAACACAGTCAGCAACATGGAACACAAGCAAACACATCAGACCTCAACTTCTATCACTGCCCACACATCACCACATGGATATTCATCGTGCATGTTTTTTTTTTGTTTTCTCGGAGAAAAATGGATATTCATAGGCTGCACCTCAATAACACATGGCATGCAATCAAAAAGCATAGTAAAAAAAAAAAAAAAAAAAAAAGCATAGTAAGGGCATACTCACACTCGCACTTTCCAAAATTCACCCGACTGCAATTATAGCCAGACCTGGGTGCATCGGACCGCAATCAGGTCCATAAACAAGAAAAAAGGTCCTAGTGTGAGTATGCCCTAAGCCATGATCACCAGCGTTACCAGAAATCAATCATTGAAAGAAAACCTAGGCTCAACAAGGCATAAAGATTCAGAAAGCACATGCACCAGAGCTCCTGACCGGAAAAAAAAAAAAGAAAAAAAAAGAAACAGAAACCACGCGCTCCTTTCACTCATGGACGCCATCAACAAGTATCCTCATTCACAAACCAAAACTCCGCTCTTTCTGAATCTTTTTTGGACCAGAGCAATTCCCGAAAGATTGATGGCACACGCAACCCTGGGTAAACAGCATTGGGCCTTCGGGAATTATCAGCAGATCCCAACAGGCAGCGATTGCCTGCCCTGCAGCGGTTCTCAAAAAGGGGGCTTCGGTAACATCGGGCCTCCGACCTGCCAGCATCCATCCTCAAAAAGCAGAGATCCCTTTTGCAACGCAGATAGTGTACCAGATCAGGGGCCAGGCCTCCACAGTTTTCAATTCCACCAGATAGGTTTCTTCTTGTTCCATCACACAGCCCCACCTGAAACCCAACGTGACTATACGAGTCAACATTGTGACTTCCCCGTAATTTCCCCTTTTCTAGGGGTCACTTTCTTCATTTGGCACCGACACTCGATCCCTTATTTAGAGAGAATTTTAGACCACCAAAAAAAAAAAAAAAAAAAGACCACCATTTTGCATGCTGCCACGTCCCACCGCATCCAGCATAGGTTGCCATTCACCCGAAACAGCCCAGACCCCAAGGCCCGAAGGATTGAGAGCTGAGACAATAGCCAGAATTGAGGTAAAAGACTGAAGCTGAGCAAAAGTACAGGGCCACTTTTCAGTTCCAGAATTTTCCCTTTTTTCCTTCGCACAGCCACCTGAACGGCTAGGTAACTTTATGAGTCAACAGCACAGATCCCAAGGCCGGGAAGGCTTGACGGCTGACAGAAGAAGGAGAATGAGGAAGCACTGAAGGCAAAATGAAAAGGGTGCAGAGCGGCCGACAGCACTGAAGGCAAAAAAAAAAAGTACAGAACGGCAGACACAGAAGACGATACAACACTGGGAGAACGAGAAGGGATATCTGCAAACCGGTATCAACATTTTTGATTGACAGAACATCAGCCAAATTGTCAAACTACGTCAAATGGTGAATCGTGTGCCTCATTTAATTCAAATTCGCTTTGCCAAATGGTGAAAATATGTCTCAGTTAACTCAAAACTCAGAATGTCAAATGTGTAAATTCATTTTTTCACCCCAAATGTAGCGGTGATTGTGTTCTTTTTTCTATAACTAAGCTATATTCTTCTCTCAGTTTCACCTTTCACTACCTACCTCCACTACTCCTAAAAGCCTATACAGGGGACCACTGCAAGCATTTGGGTGGGGGGGGGGGAAGGGGGGGGGGACGGGGCGACTAATGCAAAGACCGAGCATTTGGCCAGTAGCTGCACCTCCCATCTACTTCCCCCACCCCCATCACGTAAAAGCAGCGGTGATTACGTTCCAACGACAGTCGCTGAACCAACAGTGACACAGTGACGAGGGGTAATTGCCTCACCTACCTAAATACACTCACCCCAGACCATTCGCCCCTCACTGACCTTGGGTTTATCGAACCGTGATGAAGGATTATTATTATATTATAAATAAATATAGTAATAATAATAAACACACCCACTAATTCACTTAATTCTGATGAAATACCTGGTGTGAGAATCCATCCAGACAACATGCAGACAAAAGATACCCATCCACACACACAGAAGAGTGGGTTGGTTTCCTACCACACACAGAGAAGATTGGGTTCCCTACCTTGCACTGATTAACCATGTCTGTGAAGTACTGCTTTTCCTGCAAGCGAAGGCCCTCAAACTTCTCCACGGAGTCAATGTCCACCTTATGCTTGGTCTTGGGCTTGGGAGGCTCAAACGGACACGTCAGAATTGCAATCTTTGCATTCTCAATCACCTTCGGCATTTGTGGGTGGCTCATTTCTTTGTCGACGATTATTCCATGGACGAGTTCCACATCCTCCAATTTGCCACCCACCTTGCCTTCGATCTTGATCAGGTCCAAGTTCACATCCCTTCTCTCAAGATCAGCGACCCCAAGAACTGCCTTGACAGCAATCTCGGCCAGCTTCCTCTTGCAGCGCCCGACACTGCGAGTCAGCCAATCGATTAATTTATTCATTTCAATTACTTATCAAAAGACTAATAAAGAGCAAAAAGAAGTTAGCGCACCAACGAGCTCACTTCGCAAAATTAATTAATTTCACTGCCATAAACTGTTGAAATGCAGACGTGAGTTCGAGTCCAGATGGGAGCAGATGAAAGAAACAGGAAACAAATAAATAAAAAAAAGTCAGCGCTCGTAACGTCAGACCCAAGTGTCAAGGCAGCAGCAGCGGCGCATATAAGTGCTTTTGTGCGCACACTCCAAGCAGCAACTTCGTCAGGACCATCAACTCCACGACTATTGAAGATCACCTCCGTTGTAAAAATCTCAAGAAAAGCCCGACCACCACCACAATAACTCTCTCTCTCTCTCTCTCTCTCTCTCTCTCTCTCTCTCTCTTGTCCGCGTGCGCGCGCTCGCTCGCTCCCGCTGTGCATCTTCTTGCCCTGTTCGCTAACCACGACTAATCCAAAAAAAAAAAGTAACAGCACGACAATATTTACCCTGTCGCGTAAACGTGAAGTAAAAAAGTAGGGAGAAAAAGCAAGCAGCGATTTGATATTTTTCCAAATCGCCTGATTAGGCGAAGGCATTCCTGCCAGGCACTTTCTCCTTCAACTATGATTCTCTCCATATTCCAGACTGCATTCCATCCATTCACAAACGCCGCGTCTCAGTGAATTCACTATGCTGTTTCCCTTTTGCACCTCTTTTTCTTTGGACATCCCTCCCTCCCTTCCCTTGCACGTACCCGGCTCCTCCCCTCCTCGACAATGCATACACACACAGACACCCACACCCGCCCACACGCGCACGCACACATACACTCGCACCTGTCGCTCACATTCGCCGCCCCCCCCCCAAGGGGCGAATGAAAGCCGTTTAAAGCGCACAGAAAAAACTCACATTTTCGAGGACAGTGTCGTCATACAAGTCTGCACGAGAGACTCGACATCATCCTTGCTGAACTCAAACTTCTGTGCAATCTTGTTCAATTGCTGAACCGCAATCTTGCTCGCCATCTCGTACCCTTCAGCCACTCTGATTGGATGAATACCCTTATCCAGCAGTGCTTCGGCATGTTCCAGAAGCGCTCCAGCAAGGACCACAACACCCGTAGTACCGTCACCGATTTCGTAATCTTGGCTACGTGACAGCTGCACCATCAATTTCCCAATCTGATTCTCAACCTCCATCTGCTCCAGGATCGTCGCTCCATCATTCGCTGCAAGAGAGGAACAGAAAACAACGGGAAGGAACTCATAAGCAGGACATCAAGCCAGCGACCTAGCTTTTCCTTCTCCTTTTGGACTGGGGTGGGCAGGGGGACTGAGAAGGAAATCAAACACCCGAGTAAGGCTAAACGACCCCAACACTTCTTTCATTCAGTGGCGGGTGTGGCCACAAACTGCTTGGCCCGCGATTCCTACCCATTTTCTGCTTTTGGACCGGGGCGGGCAGGGAAACTGAGAAGGAAATCAAACACCCGAGTAAGGCTAAACGACCCCAAAACTTCTTTCACTCAGTGGCGGGTGTTGCCACAAACTGCTTGGCCCGGGATTCCTACCCCATTTTCTCCTTTTGACTGAGAAGGAAATCAAACACCCGAGTAAGGCTAAACGACCCGAAAACTTCTTTCATTCAGTGGCGGGTGTGGCCACAAACTGCTTGGCCCGGGATTCCTCCTACCCATCTGTAGGGAAAACCATCAGGCAACACAAAAGCAAAACACCAGGCAAACCGTACAAACAGAGAGAAAAAAAGAAAACCCTAAAACCCTGCGCCAAACCCCCCTTCGACACAAATCACTTCCATAAATCCTTTAGACGCCCTTTACAGGATTTGCAGGGATTACAGTGATTCTCTGCACAATCACTTTCAGTGGTCGAGAACCGCGAACAGTACTCTTCAGAGAGGTGTATAGTGCACTCGCTTGGCGGTACAGAGCACTCGCTTGAACACGAAGGAGACCTACCAATCAATCACAAAAAAGACATTCAACACCATTGCTGTCGTCATCATTATCAAGCAACCCAACCACAGCACACAGGAGTACTCGATACAATTCGAGCCCAGGTGTGCGTGTGTTTTACTCCCCTCGGGGGAGGAGGGAGGGGAGGGTGTAGGGAGTAGAGAAAGGGGAGGGGAACATGAGTGATGAGTGGTTACCCTAACACGAAACGCTGGCAGTCTCTTTCAACCTCACTCTCACCTCAAAAATACCCCAAACACTCGACAGGAATAACACGATAGCTACCGTCTCCTCTCGAATAGAGCATCTGGTTATTATGGCTGTATGTAGACTGAGTTGCGCCGAATACAGCTATAATGAGTGCTCTCTATTCGGATGAAGGCGGCAGTAGACTGATTGTCAACAACGGCCGTCGTCGATCCCCTTAACCTGCGGATTCAATCATTCACCTACCATCTATTCATTGATTAATCAATTGACGCCGAACATCTATCATCTATTCATTGATTAATCAATTGACGTCGAACTAATCCATCAAGTGAATGATTGATTGATTGATTGATTGATTGATTGACCGAATTACTATATTTCGATATTGAACGATATAGATCAATAAATTGAAAGATTAATCAACCGCGGGCGATAGATCGCTAAGTTACCAGTTTCGAGATCTGCCGAGAAATACTCCTGTTAACGGCTCATCTATCGGTCACTTAATCTATCTGCAGCTTCATCAATCGAATCATTCAATCTACCAAGTCAGCACCTTCATAAACTCGCATGGCTGATTGACTCTCACAGTGACCGATGGGACGATCGTCACGACCGGTCTTTTAGTTACATGCTTTACTGAATGATTAATTGAATTGTTTGAATTGCTTGCTCAAATCACAGGCATCGATAGCATGACGAATTAAATAATCCATCTCACTAGGATCCATTTCAGTGACTAATCGATTGATTGATTGATTGATTGATTGATTGATTGATTGACTGGTTGATTGATTCCTAACCAGATGGTTTGGTCGTTGCACCGATTGATTCGTTCATCTTTTGATTATCATCCAGTTCACTATCGGCTTGTTCAGTAGTTGTTTTTTTTTATGAGCAAGTAACAGAGCAAACTCGGAACATCTATTCGCATCAAACGGAGGCAATCACAAATTAATTCGAAACCGACAATTGACCCTCGGCAGGTTTTTCACGATTGATTGATTCGTCCGCAACAGACGCCTTGCCTCACGAGTTCAGAGCACTGAATACTTAGGGATGCTAGTGCATAACCATGAATGATATTCCCACCTACCCACTCCCCATAAACTTATTTGCAAGAGATTGTATGAAATATGAATTGCGTCGAGTCCACAAAACATCCGACGAGTTCAGAGCACTGAATACTTAGGGACGCAGAGTTGCGAAGTGACGCACAGTGCAACTACTACCTCCCGTGTGCATGTTTGGCGCTAACGGGTCTACCCCCTCCTTTCCTCACCAGCCTTCCCCCCGTCCCCCTCCTCTCTCTCTCTCTCTCTCTCTCTCTCTCTCTCTCTCTCTCTCTCTCGGTATGCACAAGTGCACCCTATCCGTAATCTCTCTCTCTCTCCCGCTCTCTCTCTCTCTCTCGGTATGCACAAGTGCACCCTATCCGTACACTGCGGCAGTTGTCGATTGCACGTCACCTCTTTTTGGCGAATGAGACGCTGAGCATCCCTAATCCTGGCACTCGACCTGCATATCATTCATCCTCGAGTTCACACTCGAGGGATTGATCCGAGGATGGCCCATCATTGAAGGCCCATGAGAGTGAAAACGGATAGGAGACGACAACAGAAGGCGGGAGAAAAGATTGAGTCCAAGTTTCGAGAAAAAAACAACCCAATTATGAACAATGCCGTGTAGCGGGACGAGAAAAGAACGTAGGCGGAAGAAGAAACCGCCAAAAACCTAATCACGAGAAACGAAAAGACATGACACTACAAGAAAGAGAGATCGAGCTAAGAAACAAAAGATGAGAAAGGTCAAACACATATTGGGAAGTACAGGAGAGGACAAGCAAGGAACAGCGATTTGGGCCTGAGGGAACGGGACGGAGGGGGAAAAAGACAAGAAGTTCCGTGAGGTAAGGGAACGTGACGAAGGAGGAAAAAGACCAGAGAGCTCTGGCGGCGGAAAGGAAAGGACAGAGAGCGGGAAAGACGTGCGGGAGGGCGCGCGGGAGCAAATGAAGCAAACGAGAATGCGCGGAAACCATCGGATTTATAGGCCGAGCAAAGTGAACTAAGACAAAGGAACGGACATGGGCAACGGTAAGGGGTAGATCTCTGGTTAGTCGGAGGAGAACGGTGAAGGGAAGAAGGAAAGACAAGAGGACAGGGGAGGGGAAATGCAAGGAAAGAAGAGCGGGAAAGACGTGCGGGAGGGCGCGCGGGAGTAAATGAAGCAAGCGAGAATGCGCGGAAACCATACGATTTATAGGCCGGGGAAAGTGTAGGATTATAGGGCAGTAGAGGGTCTACCACAGAGACATGAGACAGCCTAATAAGAACAACGTGACCCAGAGAGGACAAAATGGAGAAAAGAAAGAGACAAATAAGCAGGAGCTACAACAGGAACAGAGAGCAGGATGGAGAATGGGAGCGAACACAAAGCAGCGGACAACTTGCGTGCAGGTGAATGCTGGGAAAGCGAGCGTGCGAGAGATCAGCGAAGAGAAGGAGATCAGGAAAGGCAGGGAGGAGGGGGGAGCAATTGGATATGAAAACATCGGACGAATGAGCAGAGCAGGTAGATCGATGGTGCAGGAGGTGCAGGAAGATGGCAAGAAGAAAAATGATGAGACTCGTTAAAGAAAGGGGAACGGAAGGGAGAACGCGGATGATAGGGAGCAGGAAACCAAGCTGTCAGCCATGAATAGGGAACACATTACACACGCAGGGCAAGACGAAGCAGAGATGTGATCGATACTTACTGACAGTCACATCCCCGTCGGGACTCTGCAGCATCTTGTCCATCCCTTTCGGACCTAAAGACGATCGAAGCACTCTAGCCACCGATTTTGCCGCCATAATGTTGGCCTTCTGTGCATCGAGCCCCTTCAGTCGAGATTTTTGCTCCTGCTCGCGTATGATCACAAACGGCCGCCCAAATTCATCGAAAGCAAGCGCCATCCTCTCTCTCTCTCTCTCTCTCTCTGAGACACACACACACAGAGACACACTCGCGTGCGCACGAAAAAAACGAAAGAAAAAAGAGTAGACAAGCGAGGATAAGTGCCAAAACGATACACGACGCCGCCCGATTCAACGAGTTTCCAGCGTCATCGGCACAGCACCCTGCGAATCGATTGGAATAAACCGAAGGCACGGTCAACAACCAGTACTCAACCAGGCCGCAGCTTGCCTGTGGAGACCGGCAATGGATGGTTCCCGGCGTGCTCGACTGCAAGACCGCCCGCGAGCAATGAAATTTTTCTTGAACCTGCCGAAAGCTTGTGTGTCCACTACCCAGCCGGCTCTCTCCAGACATCTATCACGGTAGCAGGTGGGACTCCGTTCGCGGATCCATCCCGTAAGAAAACTGGAGGCCGCGCCGGGAATCGGGCACGTTGCCTGGTTGCTGGACCAGCGCCTTGAGTGTGAGAGCGGCGGGGGATGCGGGCGGGAGACGAAAAGAAAAGGCGTAGGAGAAGAAAAAGGAGGTGGTGAAACAGAGGGAGAAGCGGCCCTTCATAGGTTTTATAAAACCACCACTACCTTTTTCCCCCCAACATAAGGCACATGCCTTGTAAACGAACACAATGCATACTGCGTTGTATTTGTTTACGACACATACGCATTATGTTTGAGTGGACTGCAGCAACTTTTTGGACACAAGGGGGTCGTGTCCAGGCTGAATAGGCTCAGTTATGGCCAGTCGAGGAGGGGTCGCGAAAGAGAAAAAGATGTTTTGGGTGCGTTATGTAACATATAGGGGGATGCAGGGGGGAAGCGAGATAGAGGAGGAGAATGTGAGAGAAAAAGAGAAGGAAAAAAGTAAAAGACGAGTGTTTAATTTAGATAAATAAAGAGAGAGAGAGAGATGGGAAAAATAAAGAGAGAGAGAGAGAGAATACAAAAAGGAAAAAAAAAAAAAGAGGAAGTCTCACATACACTAATATGCAAAGTAAAAATAAAAAATTAAGTAACTGGCAATTCAAAGCAAAAATGAAATATTGTATGGCTCAGGATCTTTTACCCGACCGAACTCAAAAAAATAAAATAAATTAAAATACACAAATGCTTTTATTTTAAACTTAGTAACAAATTTTAATGTGACCCCAATGGAAAGTGGTTCAGTTTATTTTTCTACATACCATAGTTTTTCTCCGGATTTTATTGTTTTTTTTTTTTTTTAATGTTCAGGTTCGTTCGAATATATTTTTAAGGAGGGCAGACCGTTCGATCGTTCGACCGTTTGAGTTCATTAATTCCTCCGAACCTGAAGGTCGGCTATCCTATTTACAATCAATATGAACAATAAAAAAGATATTCCAATGAACGCTCTAACAATATACAAACACAAACAAGCGCCTCTCACCATCACTCATTGCCAATGGATCTAAAAAACTCGTTGAACTGGACAACGAAGCTTCTTAGCAAAACGTCAGCAAATTCGTGCTTTGTGTTCGTGAAGAAGAAATCCATGTTTGGAAATTTTTGTTTTGGAAAGCCAAAACGTTAATTCAAGTGATAAAAAACTCTCTTAGGTTTATGTTGAAGTCATAACTTAGTGATTTTCCAAGTTATATCTACTCGTCCATTTGAGGTTTCATTACCGAAGGCGAACTTTTAAATTTCATTATTCAAATTTCACTTCGGGTAATTACTTTGCCATTTTTTGAAATATCCGCACGTACGTTCAAGATTTCGTTACAGAAATCACACTTAGGGATTTCTAAATTTTACTTAGCTATTTTTCAAAGTTATATCCGTACGTATGTTCGAGATTTTATTATCGAAATCACATTTCATAGTTTTATGTAGTTAGTTTTCAAAGTTATATTTGCACATGTATTCATGATTTTGTTATCGAAATCGCACTTTACAATCTCGAGATTTTCCTTAACACTTTTTTAAATTTATATTCTCACCTACGTTTGGAATTTCGTTATGGAAATCGCATTTCGGGATTTTACTTTCCATTTTTTTACGTTATATTTGTGTATGTGTTCGCGATTTTGTTATCAAAATCGCACTTCGTTATTTCATAATTTTACTTACGACTCTTTCGAAGTCATATGCGCATGTGCCTTCAGAATTTTATTTATCGAAATCGCAGTTCAAGATTATAAGATTTTACTTAATCATTTTTCGAAGTTTTATCCTTATGTGCGTTCGGGATTTCGTTATTGCAATCGCACTTCCGGATGCCAAGATTTTACTTAAAAGTTTTTTTAAGTTTTATCCGTTTGTATTTTTTATCTTGTTACCAAAATTGCACTTCGATATTTTAGGATTTTACTTTGTAATTTTTCGAAGTTATAACCATACGTGCGTTTGGGATTTCGGTCTCGTTACCGAAATCGCACTTGGGAATTTCATGATTTTACGAAGTTCTACACGTGCATGTAAAAGGTTTTATAACTGAGTTGTAATAAGTAGCAATGAAGGACCTATATTGTGAGTTACCTTATGCTCGCTAAGCTTGATTAATAGTTTTATTGTTTATATCTCACATATTTTCCTACAAGGTCATTCATTGTTCATGCCTCTAGCTACCGCTCTACCCCCCACTCTCTCTCCACGAACGCCAAGCCAACGCACTCATAGCAAGGTTAGGCTCAATTTATAGTTGCATGTGACCGTAGATAAATTAGTTGAATCCTTTCGTAAATGTATATTGCATACACATATACACATATTGATCATTCATCCTTCTATTTTTTTAAGTCACAAACGAGGTTTGTACTTTGTACAAAATTTTGATTTTCTTAAATAAGTGTGTTACCTTTAGTACGCGAGTACAAAACCGGCATTATACTTTGCTGTACTCAATCCACGACATTATTTTTCAGAAGTTTTCATGGTTAAAAAAAATACAAAAAATATAGGGCGATGACCCCCATCGTGTTGTGTATAAGAAAAAAGAAAAAAAAAGAAAAATGGGGTATTTTTTTGCTCGGACACCCATGTGTTAAGTTTTGTTGTGTTATGAGCAAGGTGATAGTGAGAGTACACTTGTAATCGTTATATGTAACGACGTTTCAAAAGCTATGTGGAAAACAAGGGAGCGAGGAAAAAAAAATGGGCGTTGCCTCGTAGCAGTGCACCATTAGCGTTGTCGATAACATCGATTCCGCAGGGGGACCCCCTCGACCACGTCACGCAAGATTTTATCGCACGGAAGTTTTCGTCGCTCTGGCCGAGAGCGTCAGCCACATCTCTCGAGAACCCCTACGATAGGATAGGGGTCACGTGAATAACAATTTAGGCCCAAAAACATTTTTGATTCCCCGAAGGGAATCGAACTTAGGTCTGCATCTCAGGGAAGGAGCAGGAGGAAGCGCCAACAAGGCGCAGGGCCAGGTGTCCTGACCATTGGCTTATGCCAACGGTAAATAAATAAATAAATTTATTTAAAAAAAAATAAAAATTGTTCCAGATGATGCAAAACGATGTGGCTGGGGATTTACAGTCCTCAGAAAAAACGACAGGCGCCCGTTGAAAACGGACAACCATTTTATGAGGTAAATTGGTTTTGTTTTCTTTTATATTTTTTTTTTAATTTTTTATTTTCTTTTATATTTTATTTTTTAGATTCATTTTCGTTTTTTTTTAGAAACCCGTTCATTCGATGAAACGGGCTTTAGTTAGAAAAAGGGAAGGGGGAGTTATGTTGTGATTGCGGTCTGGTAGAGGATGTTACAGTACTTGTCTGAAACTGGAGAGTTTCAGTAGCTGCCTTTACGCCTGAATCTGGCGTGTTTCCGTGCCAGATGCAGGCGCGAGGTGGGAAGTTGGAGTGTTGAAAGAGAGGAGCCATTCATCTGAACGGAAAGCAGCAGTGTAACAGAAAACTGTTGCACCCGGTTGTGACGAATGAGTTTGTTGCTTTAGCAAAAAAAAAAAAAAAAAAAAAAAAAAAAAAAAAAAAAAAAAGTAAGAAAAAAAAAGAGGCAAACTACCTCGTGGCTGGAAAAGAACAACCTTTTTCAGGCTGTGTGGGAGCAAACCCAGCTTCCCACTCAGAAGAGCCACGAATATCCGTGCGACGTGCGCGTGGTAAAGGAAGAAGAATCTGGGGGGGTTGGAGAAAGAGAGGAAGGGCGTGAGAGTTAGGAGAGGGAGGACCTACCTCTCCCAACCTGACAACTGCCCTCCCCGTTTTCAGGGGAGGGCAGCAGAGGTAGAAGGAAAGAAAGGGAAAAAGAAAAAAAACCACGGCCATAAATGTGGCCACGGCTACGGTCAGATACATGCCAAACTGGCATGAATGTGACTCATGACAGAGGATGGGGATCTGAAGAGGTGGTGAAGGGAACTTGGCTGGAAACAACAATTTTCCCGTTGACCCTGCACTCAGTGTGTGGCTGAGTGCAGGGAAAAGGAGAAAAACAGGGAGCAGTTGAGTACAACTGCCACCCTAAGTGTGTGGTTGAGATGAGGCAGCCTCAGTCCGTTGATCTGGCTCAGATCACGGCCCCAGGCAAGTGACGAATTTTGCCTGGGGGCAGTTGAGGTTGCTGTTGCCCTCCTCAACCACTACAAAAGAGGCAATTGTCCCCTAGCTGCCTTACACTTGCCTCCAGCTGCCAGTGTGTGACAACACACTTGCCTCATTGCTGGAGTGTTGGAGAGGAGTCAGGAGTGCTGCAAACGGAGCTGGAGGACGACAGTGGAGTGCGGCGAGGAGGAGGAGACAGCCATAGTCTAGCTGGAGCACTCTGCTTCATCCAATGGCTGACTAGTTTCTAAGGGGATTTGCGACAACGCAGCGAGGAGGGGTCGTGAGATGCAACAGGGGGCGACGACGACGTTGCGGCATGGTGTTGTGGCACGGCGTCACTAGCAGCCATTTTCATAACGACAGTACTGGGGAGATGCTGTCCGAGTGGTGCGGCATCGCTGACGGCCATTTTCCTTACGCGCAAGGGAGGTGCTGCCGGATTTGCGGCACGACGACACTTGAATTTTCTTTTGGCGGGGAAGTGTTGTCGAATTTGTGTCGCGGCGACACTTGAATTTTCTTTTGGCAGGGCGAATTTATGGCGCGGCGGCATTTTTTTTTTTTTTTTGTGGGGAAGTGTTGCCGAATTTGTGGTGCGGTGGCACTTGAATTTTTTTTTGGCGGGGAAGTGCTGCTGAATTTGCAGCGCGACGACACTTTAATTTTCTTTTGGGGGGGAAGTGTTGCCGAATTTGTGGCGCGGTGACACTTGGATTTTCTTTTGACGGGGAAGTGGTGCCGAATTTGTGGCGTGGCGGCACTTGAATTTTCTTTTGGCGGGGAAGTGGTGCCGAGTTTGTGGCGCGGCGACACTTGAATTTTCTTTTGGCCGGGAAGTGCTGCCGAATTTGTGG